GGCGGGGCGGAGCTGGGCGGAGCTGGGCGGGGCCGGGTGGGGTGGGATGAGTCCCAGCGCCGAACTACTCTGACTCGATCCTCCTTCCGCACAGTCAGGGTTTCCGTTTCCCTCCTGTGCGCAGAGTAAGAGGGAGCGAGGCCGAGACCCGGCAGCCGCCGCTATGTGGCCCCCAGACCCGGAGCCCGACCCAGACCGCGAGCCCGCTGGCCGCTCCCAGCCCCGCGCGGCCCTTCCCGGGTTCCGCTCCCTCCTGCCGGCGCGCGCCTTCCTCTGCTCGCTCAAAGGCCGCCTCCTGCTGGCGGAGACGGTGAGTGCGGGCCCCTGGCCCCCTCCCGGCGGCGCGGAGACCCCTGCGGCAGCTCCCGCCTGCAGCTCCCGGGCGTAGGGCTAGGGGCTCCGCCTTCTGTACGCCCGGGTCCTGGCGCCCCGCCCGGCCGGTGCCCCTCGCAGCCCCGCGAAGTTGGGCTGAGATCGGCAAACTTCCGCGGTTTGGGACGGGCTCGCTGAAGCTCAGCCGCGGGTCGGAGGCGAGGCGGGAGCCGCAGGGAAGCTTGAGGAGGAGGCCCCCGACGCGGCGGCCGGGCCCCTGGGAGCTCGGCCCAGCGCTGTGTGACCTCCGGCGCCTCCACCCTCTTTGGGCCCCTGGGACGGGCTGCGTCCCCGCATCTTCTGGCCTCCATCGCGGGCACCCCGCTCCGCAAAGCCTCTCGCCACGCCCTGGCCGGGCCTGGGAGGAATCGGCCGTTCGCGAACCCCAGGTCTCTCTGCTCCCTGGCCCGCTTTCTTGGGCTCAGGGAGGACCGGCCGGGCCTCGAGCTGCAGGGCGGAAGCCAGAGCGGAATCCCGCCAGCTGGGAGGGGGGACCCCCGGGATTGGGTGAGGCCCGGGCCACACAGTTGGGGGAGCGCAGGGAGCCCACCCCCACCCAGGCTGCCGAGGGGCGGCCCAGCGGGGTGACTTCATCCCCCTCCTCCCCTCCCTCGCTAGGATCCAGCTGTCCCGCTCCCGCTGAGCTCCTTCCTCCTTCCCGCACCCGCCCCCTACCCCAGGCCCGTCAAGAGGCCTTTGTCCTCGGGACACTCCGAAAACTCCTGCACTGTCAGCCTGTGGGGTTGGGGTTTGGTGCTGGGCCTCTGTGGAGGGAAGGGGAGGAAGAGGCCAAGCGAAGGGGAGGCGGGATAAGAGTGGAGCACTTGTTACTTAGATCTCCAGCAATTTGATAATCTGTCATTATTCCCACATTGCAGACAAGAAAGCTGAGGCCCGAGCCTCTAGAGGATTTGATGTGGGTCAGTTGAGGGCCAGGGGACAGCAGGGATCAGAGAGAGGAGGGTTCTGCCGCAGCCTCTCCTTCGTACCACCCAGAGCTGATGGCAGGAGGCCGTCCTACCACCTCCTCTGCCTCTGGGGTCAGCCCAGAGGTGATCTCTGGGCTGGCGCCTGCCAGACTCCCAGATGAGGCATCAGGGTCCAGGACTCGCAGCTCACACTCCAGGGAGTTGCCTCCTGGTTGGCCACACAGCCCCACTTTGGAGATTGATGCGAGCCACGTTTTTGGAGAAGCCTTGAATCCACCGTCCCCTGAGGGGACCCCAACCACACCCCACTCAGGCCCACCTCATGGGTGGGGGAGATGCTGGCCAGAGCCTAGAGGAGGCCCTTGGCAAAGCTGGGCGCCAAGAATCTAGGTCTAGGAGGATGAAGTGGGGAGGAAGGACGGATGAGGAGTGGGCACTGAAGACGCAAGGGGAGCCACTGGAGGTCACTCCTGCCCCCTCAGGTCACCTCTGGCTGCCCCCAGGCCCAAGCAAGTGGGGAGGCTGACATGGGCAGGAAGGGGGAGGAAGCTGCCACCAGGAATCAGGGAATGAGGAAACAGAATCGAGAGAGGGATCCCCAGAATCAGGCTTTGGGGGTAGGGGACAGGAAAAGGAGGGACAGAACAGCCTTTGGTAGAGAAAGTAGAGGATAGGGCCAGGCCAGAGTCCTGTGGCCTTGCCTTCCTGGGAGGCCCTATCAGCCTCTCAGCCCATCTCTACGCCTTAGTCTCCCATCTGTTCAAATTGGGCTCAGCTACCTCCATTGTCATGTTCAGACCAGATATGGGTGCTCTTCAGCTCATTTGTCTGAAGCTACCACAGGGCCTCCTGTGGGGCATCTGGATGTCATCCCCACATAGCCCCCTGGCCCACTCTGAGCTACTCAGCCATGGACCTGCTCAAACCCAGCCAGAGTGACCAAAACCAGGACAGATAAAGGCCAGCAACCACAGGGCAGTGTTGCTTAAGAACGCCAGATGTGGAGTCAGCCAAGCCAGAGTTCAAATTCTGATGCCCTCTTATTAGCTGTATGACACTGAGCACACCACTTCATCTCCCTGAACCTCACTCTTCTCATCTGCAAAGTGGGCTGTGAACGGCACCTGGTACCTGGGTGGTGGTGAGGAGGCCCCACAAGCCTCAGCAGGCACTGGTCCAGTGAACAGCCCCATCACCCCCGTCTGCTCTTCAGAGCACACGGGTCTGCAGAACTAACCCAGGGCCTCGGCATCCTCGAGCATCAGTTGCCACCCACAGTGTGTGGACAGGGCTGCAGAAAACACTTTCATTCTTAAATCAGTTCCTCATTACAGTTCACCCCACCTTTCACAAAGGCTGAACAAATGATGCAGCAGGGCATGAAGTGTCAGTATCACTACTCCCTCTCCTGGATGTTTTCGCCTTATTGTGAAAATTTGCAAATATACCAAGAAAAAACCCCATATACCCACCACCTAGATTATACTATTTGCTTTATCACATATCTGTCTGTCCATCAATCTGTTTTATTTTTTGATGCATTCAAAGTAAATTGCAGATATCAGTACATTTCAACTCTGAATACTTCAGCATGTGTATTATTAACTAAAGCACCACATTAGTGTATTGTTTTTCAGGTAAATTTTTCATTCAAGCACAAATCTTGGGTGTAATTTTCTGAAACTGGTTCCTGCTTAGTGGACTGCCTTTGAGATGGCTTGGGTTTGATTTTCCCATTGGGCACCATCTGAGTTGGGTGGATTCTGCCATAGAGCCTCTGGCGTGGGTGGGAGTGGCACAGCCCCAGGAATCAGCTTCCTGGGGGGCTGGACGCAGGAGAGGCTGGGGCTTCCTGACTGGGTCCCGGCAGGGAGCTGGCCTGAGGTCAGGATGCAGAGCCATGCCCAGAGGCACTGGGGGCAGCACGGTGTGTGTCTGATGGAGTTCTAATCCTGCAGCTGCAGGACTGGGCAGGTCACTTCACCTGCTGGAGACTGCTCTAGTCCTGCCTGCAGGGAGGGGCTGTGCACGGGCTCTGACTTCTCCCTCCACCACCTCCCAGGGTCTCTCCTTCATCACCTTCGTCTGCTATGTGGCATCCTCAGCATCCGCCTTCCTCACGGCGCCCCTGCTGGAGTTCCTGCTGGCCCTCTGCTTCCTCTTTGCTGATGCCATGCAGCTGAACGACAAGTGGCAGGGCTTGTGCTGGCCCATGATGGTGAGGGCTGGGGCCCCGGGATGAAGGGGTTGACTGGCTATCATGGAGAGGTGTGCATTTCGGCCCTCACCCTTTTTCTTCAATGCACTGGAGGGGGCATTTGCAGTTGGTTGAGCCTGGTGGGTAGGCCTGGCCTCGGGTGATCCAGGCCCCACCGCACGGCAGCCACATGACCCAGGGCAGGTTGCCCTGCCTGCAGGGCCTCCAGTGTCCCTCTGTGAGGATACGAACCCCAGACGGCATCCTCCCCCCTAGCCATCAGGTGGCGCTGGTGTTCCCAATTGGGCCCATTGGCATGAGTCTTAGCCGCAGGAATTCTAGCCATTTCCACACGGGGCAGGGCAGGTTAACTGAGGACTTGCAGGGCTTACCCAGATCTCAGCCACCTGACAACTCATTTTATCACCTGGGAGGGCCCAGAACCTCATCCCGGACTTTGCTGTATGAAATGTGCAAAGGCTGCACTTGAACTCTGGTCTCTTGACTTCATACCTAGCATTCTTCCTGATGGGCTGCACCCCCTGTCCCCATTTTAGGGACCGGTAGACAGAAACCATGATACATAAATGATCTGCCACAAGTATGTGGCAAAGCAAGGTCGGGGCCAGATCTCCCTATCGGAGAGCCAGAGGGAGCAGTGACAAGATTTCCAACTTCTCCCTCCCCACCAAACGGGGAAGTCTGCATCTGGGCCAAGCCACAGGGTGAGCTGCAGCCTGGTCCGTACCCTGTTGTCCACCTGGCAGAGGACGGCAGCCTACAGGGGGCCACTGAGCAGGGGCGGGGTGGAGGTCGGGGGAGGACCAGGGAGTGCAGGTGGGGCCAGGAGGAGCGGGAGTGCCGTGGACGCTGGGCCTGGGGGCCGCGTGTGTCCAGGCTGCCAGGCCCATCCTCCTCAGACAGTGGGATTCCGGCCCTGTTCTTGGCACACAGTGCCCTTCTGAGCCCCTCTCCCCTGCCTCAGCTCCCAGCGGCCCCCTTCCCATGCTGTGCCCCACTCCAGGGAGCTAACGGCGCTGTGACCATGCCCCTCTCTCCCCAGGACTTCCTACGCTGTGTCACAGCGGCCCTCATCTACTTTGCCATCTCCATCACAGCTGTGGCCAAATACTCGGACGGAGCTTCCAAAGCAGCCGGAGTGAGTAGCCACTCTACCCCTGGGAGGGGGCGATGCCCAGTGATGCCCCACTCAATTTCACCCCACTCCTAAGTGGGTGCCCCTCTTAGCTTCTTGGGCATATTCTGCCTCTGCCTCAGTACCTTGGACTTTGACATGGATCTCAGCAACTCCACTGTCCTCTTATTGGAGATTTACTCTGCCCAGAGTTCGAAAAGGCTGTTTGCCAAACCAAGTTAACGGCTCGTTTTCCTACCTGTCATTAATGGGAGGGGTCTGCGTCCGCCAATCTGAGCTACTTATCCAAGCAGATAAAAACAAAGCTATGAGGATGGGGCAGCGGCTGCTCCGGCTGCCCCCCCACCCACTCCCGGGCTCCCAGCTCCTGACGACGCGTCCCATCCTCCCTGTCCCCTGTATCCCACAGGTGTTTGGCTTCTTTGCCACCATCGTGTTTGCAATTGACTTCTACCTGATCTTTAACGATGTGGCCAAATTCCTCAAACAAGGGGACTCCGCAGATGAGACAGCAGCTGACAAGGCGGAAGGTAGGTAGCCACCCTGTGGGTCCCACCAGGGAACCCAGCGCATCACCTGGAACGGCTGATGCAGGGGCCCTCCTCTCCCCTGGGGACACTTGGCTAGTTTGAGGCTGGAGTAAGAGCATTTCCTCTCTCCCCACGGGCAGGAAGTGTTTTCACAGCCTGGTTCTCCTATCCCTTCATGTGGCACTGATCATAAAGCCGGTCGGTCCCCTCTGGGGAACACAGGATTCCCCAGGGCCTCAGCCTTTCCAGGAGGGGCAAGCTGAGGGCACGCCCGGCACCTCCTCCTCATGAAACCTCCCCGACGGGCCCCCAGGGCGGCCAGTCACTCGCCTTCAACTCCCTGGACGCCATCCACTGGGCTGCAGCGTGGCCGCCTGTCCCACAGCAGCACCCCCACTCCCCAGTCTCGCCTGCCCCCAGCTTAAGGGCCAGCGAACCAAGCTCTCATGCTTATCCGCAGCACCCAGGCAAACACAGTCAAGCTCGGGCTTGTTTCACTTTTTAGATCCAAAGAAAGTGCCACAGACTTTTTGGTCCCTCAAGCCATCCTTCAGCTCAGAATGGCTGTTGTGCCATTACCTGACTTAAAAAACAAAAACAAAAAAACCCCCTGCAAGTTGGACGGCTGGTTTTTTCCATCCGTGACAGCAGCCATACCAATGTGTCACATCCTTGGGGTACATGTGCCCAGCTGGGGGCCCTATAGGGGTGCATCCAAGCTCCAAGCTGGTTTGGAGCTTGTGATCTCCCTCAGGCCTTCCTCAGTCACAGCCCAGGGCTCTCCTGCCTGGGGAGGCCACCAGAGGAGGTGGAGGTCCCTGCCCAGGGGGCAGGAGTTACAGGGGCGGTGGAGGCTCCAGCACAGAAATGTCTGGGACCGAGGGCCCAGGCCATTTAACTGCCCCTTCCTCTCCATACCCCCAGGCAGGCTTTAAATGGAGAGGCAGATGTCAGCTCCCTGCAACTGAGTAAATCGGATGTTTGGCTCAGCACCAAACTCCCCCAGCCTGGTGTCCCGTGATCCCTCACGGCCCTTCCGTCAGCCTTTGTTGACCCAAACACCTACAGAGGCTGCCATGTGCTGGGCCCTAGGGATGTGCAGATGGGCAAGGCCAACTACCTGCCCTCGGGGAATTCAGCCCAGACAGGAATTAGACCCAGAGACAAAGTGGTGATGTACACACACGGCACAAACGGGCCACGAGGAGCCCAGAGTAGACGTCAACCATAACAGCACGAGAGCTAACAGAGGTAGGGATGAAGCAGCTGAGGGAGCACCCACCCTATGTGCCAGCTAGGAGGCTGTGGAGGTGACCCCATTGCTGGGTTTTGATGGATGTATAGGAGTGTGCAGGCAGAAGAAATGGGACAGGTGGAGGGAAGACAACAGAGTATAAAGGGCAGGTGCTCCCGTCCAGGTGAGGTGTTTCTCTGGAACAGGTGGTCGTGTCCTGTGAGGATCAGCAGTGACATGTGGCTGGACAGAAAGACAAGGGGGGGCTTTTGAGGGGCCTGTAGGCCCCGCCTTGGAGTTGGCATCTCTCCACTGAGTGCCTGCTGTCCCCAGGCAAGTGACATTGAAACTCCTGGGGCAGGGGAGACTGAAACTATGAAATGGCTAAAAAGAAGCTTCCTGATTTCCCAGTATGTTTTAGTTTCTTGGGCAATAGTTAGCCCCATCTTGACCTGCTGA